TGGTTGCACCAGTCTGCACTCCCACCAACAATGGAGAAGGGTTCTTTTCTTCCCACAACCCCATCAACATTTGTTATTGTGTGATTTCTTGATAGCAGCCATTCTTGGCAGGGTGAGGTAGAATCTCAGTGTTGTTTTCATCTGCATCTCTCGAATGACCAGTGATGTGGAACATTTTTTCATATATTTCCTCGCTGTTTTTACTTCTTTTTCTGAGAAATGTCTGTTAGTTTCAGATGCTCATTTTTGAATCAGGTCTTTATATTTGGGGGGTGGGCTGATTGTTTTCAGTTCCTTAAATATTCTAGTTAATAGTCCTTAGTCTGAGGAGCAGTTGGTAAAATTTTTTCCCACATTGTAGGTTGTCCTTTAGTTCTATTGTTGGTTTCTCCATTGTTGGAGGAGGGCAACCACTATGGAAATCAATATGGAGATGCCTCAAATAGCTGGGCCTAGAGGTTCCATTTGACCCAGCCATCCTTCTGCTGGCTATCTTTCCAAAAGAATCAAAAGAATCATATCACAGAGATATATGCACGCCTTTGTTTATAGTGGCACATTTTGTAGAAGCTAAATTTTGGAAACAGCCCATTTGCTGATCAGTTGGAAACTGGATAAACATGTGGTTTTTCTATAAAATGGAATACTCCTCAGCCATTAAAATGAGAAATTAGATTCATTCATAGGATAATGGATACATATTGAGGATATACTCCTAAGTGAAATACATAAGGCACACATGTGTGAATACCAAATAGTTTCTCTGATGTGAATAAACTATAATAGTAGATAACATCCTATATAATCCTATATAATTGACAGTGTGAAATAGGAAGAAAGGGGTGAAAGGCGTACGGAAAATGGGAAGGGTAGAGGAAAGCTCATAAGGAAAAAGAAAAAAATATGGGAACATGAAAAAATGGAAATGAAGTGTTTGTAAAAGGGGAGGGGAGGAGGGGGTGAAGGGAGGGAAGGGATAAGGGGCAAAAAATGAGAACCAAGACCTGTCATGTAAAAGAACAAGATCCCAATAATGAATGTAACTGTACTGTATATATAAAATGTTCCAATAAACTTGAGGAAAAAAAAGTGATCAAGTCAGCTATATACATTAAATCAGTATTCTCTTATTTAATGGAGCAGAAATGATTTAATTTAACCAATTCCATTCTGAAACTAATGGAGCTAAGGGTTTTCCAGAAATTGCCAGTCTTATGGCTGGATGTGAGCATGGGACATCTTGCAGTGTCAGACAACAAGGTTATCCTACAAATTAGAGGCATGAGCTACTTTGCCAGAGCAATAAGACAGCTTATAGGGCGGTCTGTTAATGGGTTATAACATGTCATCTTGTAGTGCATTTTGGCTGACATTAACGTTCATTTCAGATGATATAAAGTGATCAGATTTTCCTCCTAATGCGCATAGAAGTTAGTCAAAGAAAAGATTCCTGATTGGCATAACTGTTTTTCTTTAGAAAAGGAATTGACTTCATAGTAATTTTATTTGTGACCCATCCATGCCAAAACATCTACCAGAGTCCAGGGCATACACACCTGTGAGGAATCCAAGCACCCTAGGAAACTTCTACTAAGATTGCCAGCTAATCTCTACTCACCAAATTTTCTCTCCCATTTAATGATACACAAGAGAATAAACACCCATTTTAATTGAATATTTGAGTGAGAGCACTTGAGTTCCACGAAGATGAATAGAGATGTTCTGTTCACTGGGAATCAAGAAGGCTTTGTAAAGGGTGGCACTCACCTTGTAGGCTGCCGGACATGCAGTACAGCCCAACGCGGAGCAGCGATGCTGTTGCCAAGAGGAGGAGATTGTGAACGGGAAGCCGTGATTCCTGATTTCCCCATTTTACAGCACTAATGTGGCAATGAAAAGCCAACAAAATGAAGTGAGGAATAGTGGTGTCATGTGGCAAACATCAACCTGTTGCACAGATGGAAATGCTCTAACGCACCATGCATGAATTTCCTAGTTAGTTCATCCTTTTACCTTTATGTCTTTGTCAACACCTGCTTGATTTCCTATCCCTAAATATTTGCGTGTTATACAAGATTTCATTATGCCATGAAAAATGAAATGACCAGTCAATTCTGTGGTAATTCTTTATCTGTTGAAAGAATTTATTTTTATTACTACAAATTTGTAATGCATGACAAGTACATTCCTCTTGAAGACTTGGCCCTTGCTCATAACACATCTTAATTCTTTTTTGAAATCTTCTCTTCTCCTCCCTCCTGCCTACCTTTATCTCTTGATATATTTCCTTTTTTCTATTATCTATTCCTCATTTTGCACTTTAATTTATTTTAATTTAGGTGGATTCTCTAAGAGAAATCATGTGATATTTAAGATTGTATTTTGATCTGTTTCACTTAACATTGTGGTTGCCAGGTACATCCATTTTCTATAAATGATTAAAGTTTATCCTTCTTTATGAGAACATCCATTTTATAAATGATTAAAGTTTATCCTTCTTTATGAGCATATCACCTACTTCCAGGATATAGGAATTGTGCCTTTTGCTGCTATAAATACTGTGTAAGTATGCGTGTAAGGGATTCTTTACCTATTTTTGTGTTAAGCATTTAATATGTTTACTTGTGTTGATGACAATATCAAGAAAGAAAATACTATGAACAGAGCCAAAATCAAATGGTTAAAAAAAAAGTTTCCCATCTAGCAGGAAAAAGATTTAATTCTTCATCAAAAGTGACTGAGCAGAAGAAAATGAACTGAAAAGGTAATAAAGCAATATGAACAAATATTTCTTTCAAATGAGAATGACAAACATTATTTGGAAATGGTACCCAGCTCCCTTAATGCATTGAAAATTTCTCACCAGGAAACCAGCACCAAACCCAACTTCCAAACCAGCCCTGGCCTGGTGGTTCAGGTGCAGCTCCAGCTCTCCATCCATGCTGACACCTGCAGGAGCTTCGTGACTTTGCTCCCAGAGACCTCCCTTGTGATGTGTGTCGTGCACAGTACTCAGGGCCTGGGGCCAGGAAAACTGATTCTTGGCTGTGTTCTGGAGTAGGAGATGGAACAATTGGAGCAGGTTGAGGTTTGTGCTCTCAAACTGAGACATCTCCCCAGTCATTGAACTTCATCCTTGGAGTGAATGGATCCACTCCTAACGTGAACTACTGGTATGGATGGAACATCTGGGAGCACAAGATGATAGTTAGCCTTCTCTCAGTGTAGTGGAGTTCCTGACATAGATGACTGATGTGAGGAATGATTTATTTTTAGGAATGGTTCCATTCTACAGTTGCTCCGTTCCGTTGTCTCTGGGTTTGAGGTGAGGTGGAACATCATGGTGGAAGGGCGTTGCAGAACAAGTTAGCCCACCTCATGGCAGCCAGGAATCACACAGAATGAATGGAAGGAGCCAGTGTCACAGACACACTTTCTAAAGCACAGTCTCAATCACCAATTTCCAACAAAATACATATTCCCTAAATTCCCTTCCTCTCATTTCCCATCTTCCCAACAGCACCACCACAGCCATCCGCATAGGAGCCATGAGGACCAATCCAGTCCACACTATACCACAGAGGGGACAAATGAGGGTCTCTGTGGGCTTCCTGGCTCCTGAGTCCACTCTTGCAGGTGCACCTGGGATGGGATACAACAGTCTTCCTCCTGAACTGAGCACACGATCATCTTAGAGCCATGTGTGATGTCTCAGAAACTCACCTTGGAGAACTTTCAACTGGAAAAGACCTATAACTCTCATTTTTAAATTGGAGCTCTTCCTTCCAGAGAGACTCCCATGCTACCCGAAGAGAGATTAGGGGGCTTCCACATTCCAAGAGTGAGATTTTAATTAGATCTCGATGAAATCTTTGCCTATGAGATGGTGAATCTCCATTGGCATAAAACAGAGACCCAGCTCCCTGTGGCCCTTGCTATTTCCCATTGTGTGAATCTGAATGTCCCCTCTTAACATCATTCTGGACCGTAGAGCTCACTGTATTGAGAAGTGGCAGAGCAC